AGGACTGCGGTTTTCACGAGAGATCTTAGAATTTTTTTCTTGATTTAAGTAGCTCAAGTCGTTTTTCAGGGTCACACCCCCTTTAATCAAAATAAAATAATATTTTTCATCATAAATGTATATTCTAAACTACGACCGCTGGCGCAAACAGCTGACGACGTAGCTGCTGACGTCGTCAATGGTGCTATTACAAAATATGGCCGCGATTCCCAAAAACGAGGCCGCTAGCGCAAACAGCAGACGACACTCAATGGCGTCGCATCGCAATGGTGCTACACCAATATGGCCGGCCGCGATCAAGATTGTCTAGAGGTTGGGAAGGAGCCTTAGGACGCAATAACTCTTGAATTTGTCGAAATAAAGAAAATTCAGAAAAAATCGAGAGCCTGGATTAAAAAAATATGACTATCCTATAACGAATGACGTTGGATAATATAAAACCATTAATTTGGCAAATCAATAATATCGATATGACTTTGTATCAATATCTTATAGCGTTTTCTGTTGGTAAAACTCGTGCTGCACTCATGCAAAAATTATGTTCTGTTGGCAGTTTCCGAGCGGGTTTTTATGTTCTATTGGAAAACCAGGGCAATCATTAGGCAATTCAAACCACGTGACATTCAAGATGGCGTGGCGGGCACACATGGGCCAAAAAACACAAAAAAATATCTAGTTTCTGCCAGAATTAATAGTTTAGGTAACTAGTCAACAAATATTTTATTAAATAATGAAAATCAAAGTTGTAAGCAAAACTGTATGCAAAATAATTTAAAATACGCATGAAAACATATCCAAAACAAACTTGCTTGGCCGCCACGCCACATTGAATTTTCCGTTTTGACAGATGGATTGAATTGCCTAATTATTTTATTGCCCTCGTGCAACTTTTCCAGCACGAGGTCAGAGAGCTCGTGCCAATGTCAGGGCACAACAAAGATGGCGTAAAGTGCCGACAAGTCTGTGTATAAACAAAACCAAAAAATTATGGATATCGATATTGATAAAATTCTATATTTTTTTATCTTCGTCGAGCGACAGCGATGAAGAGGAAGAATTATTAGGTCTGTTTCTGCAGAAATCACAAACCAGTCAGAGTGAATTTCATTGGTTGAAACTAGTTTTCTGACTGTTTCTGACTGTTTTCAACCAATGAAATTTACTCTGACTGGTTTGTGATTTCTGCAGAAACAGACCTTTATCTACAATTGCAGGCCTATATCATTTTCTGTTATTTTAACAGCAACGTCAAAATAGAGACAGAAAGATGTTGAGCCTTAACACAGACGTTGAAATAACAGGACAGGATACATCATAGGCCTGAATGTTTGCCAGTAGGGATAATGATATACCAAAAATTCAAAATTTTATTATTGAAATTGACATAAAAATTAATTTCAACGCAGGTATCATTGGAATTATTTCTGCACATCTCGGGAGACAGCATAATTATGTACTTTACATACAGGAAAAACCTTCCGTTTTCAACTTTTTCATACATACAAACGTTTTCAATTTTTATTCCATTGAAAATATCTTTAGGTTAGGTTAGGGATCAGGGATCGTTAAATAATAAATTTGAAAAGAATGACAAAACGCGCCAAATTCATGTTCTTTTGGGATTGCACTAAACGTGAACTGATTCAGTGTTGAGTGCAGAACTCGGACAGCACGAGTTTTACCAACAGAAAACGCTATTAGATCACCGCATTCTTTTCACATCTGCGAGTACACCGCGCGACTCAGAGAGACTCGGATCAAGCGGTGCGTTCTGTTTCTGTGTTGCATTGACGATTCGACAACCCTGGTTATATTCTACCTAGGTAAATTCAAGGGCCGGTTACTCAATAGCAGGTCATCAGGTCATCCCCCGGGTTAAGGATAACTCCAGGGTAAACATAGCAACTGGACACGCTTACCCAACCAAGCTGAATTGTGTCATTTGATTTGTTATCTCCATATGTTTTATATTTTGATTCCGAATCACGTAGATTCGTCGTTAATTTCTATATGAATTGTTTTTGTATTTCATAATGGATCTAGCTACCTTTTTTAACAATGTTGTGATGGTCGATGGAAAATGACACCCTCTCTCAGAATTAAAAGGTCTGTTTGTCAGAAATCACAAACCAGCCAGAGCGAATTTCATCGGTTGAAAACAGTCAGACATGTGATTTTTGCAGAAACAGACCTAAAGAAAAAAACACCATGAAAGTATCGCGCATGTCGAGCAAATTTTACCTTGCCGATTGTCAACGCTGGTCTAGTTTTACCTTTGAAGCATCTCTATTCGTGAATGAATTCGGACGATGAAGCGCGCTCGGAACGCCCGGGCGTCTATCGTGAATGCAGCCCTCAAGTGCAATTGACCATATTACTTACCTTGCGTTCGGTATTTTGCTCAAAGTGTAGAGCGAGCTGAGCGGAGCCGTAATCACGTGACCAGCGAGCGAAGGGAGCAGTTGAACGCTGTATAAAAGTACCGGAAATTTTAATAAACGAACGCGAATGAGGCTGCACCGAGTACACTTTTTAAATAAACGAACGGTAAAGTCAAGCTCGGAGAACTCAGACCAAAATAACGAACGCACGGTTAGGTTAGGAAAAATCGGGCGCGAAATTTAAAATGGGTTCCTAAACACATTTCAACAAATTTGACAGCAATGTATTTCTTATGGGGGATTCAAAAGAGTGATTTTCAGACGGGAATATCTTGGGTTCTGGGCATTTCTTAGTATTGGAACCTATTGTACATCAAACTTTGAACATATTTCTCTATAATTCATGCTCTAATTGTTTTTTTAGACCTATGAATTAAAAATACAAATGATTTTAATTAAAAGTGTCTGTTTTCGGTGGACGTACGTCGGGTCTAAAACCAGCTGAGAGAAAAGAGAAAGTGAGGTTGTGTGTTGTGTTATGATTGTTGGTGAATTGTTTATTTATTTATTTATCACTAGTTCAGTCATTTATTTTTCAATTTTTTTGGATTATTGAAGTACATTTACTAACCAAGTATGTAGGTAAACTTTTATTTTATTATAATTAGGTACTCATATATATTTATGGATCAAGCAACGACATACGTATTTTATACAAACATCGGCTTCTTAAATTGGTAATATTTTAATTTTAACAATGTTTATTCAACTTTCAAACACTCTCTCAGTTAATTAACATATTAAAAAAACTATTTATACAACTCAATTCCGTAACAAACGTTCTATCACGTCTACAGACGCTTTTAAAATTGAGTCCCCATAAGACATCAATGTATTAATTTTTGAACTAGGAACCCGCGACAATTTGCGATTCTAACCTAACTAATATGATGAAGTGCATATTATTTTCGGAGCTTTCCCATGAGTGGCCCTCCCCTCGCTAGATGGGGCTTGTCAAGGATATTGAACACTACTACAAGATTGCTCATCGGCCTCGATTTTTGGATTCTAGAACATATGGTGCTGCACAGATGTGATGTCATCAACGGTGTCGTTAGCTTTTGCGCCAGTGGTCGTAATTTGGAACATATATTTATGATGAGAAATATGGTTGTTGTAGAATAGCAATTCGCATTTTTTGACATTGCGTTGACAATTTGACGTTTTATGCGTGTATCAAACGTCAAATAGTCGAAGCAATGTCAAAAAAATGCGAATTTCGCAGTTATGAGTACTAGGCTCAATTCATGTACTAAAGCCAAGTATGCATAAAGCAAAAGCCAGCGGTATCATAGCCGGTGCAAACACCCTACGTCAACGCGAGAAACGGCACGCTGCCACGTCATCACTGGTACTTTGGCGTGGCGAAGAGCTTGATATTTGATCTACACAGGCCTTTCGAGGATAGGCTTTCCTGTGTAGTGTGTTGTGGACTCGTGACTCCAAGCGAATGTAACATCGAACACTTGGATTTGAAAAAGTGTTCTTTTAGGGAGTTACTGCGAATGACTTCGACCGAATAACGCCAGGTTATCCTTAAAAAAAACTCTGCTCCAACAGGTTACGAACCTATTCTTGAGGACTATTCCGATCTTTTCCTAACAGTAAGAACAAAGGGAAGAGAAGTGAACGCTGATTAACATGTAATTGCATTCATTGTAAAATCTGATTGAAGCACCTGAGAAAAGAACAGATGAACAGGTTGACGGAACATGTTTTCATGTAAGAACAGAACTATTCAAATTCGTTCAGCAATTTTACCTGTTCTTAAGCAACTTTTAATTTAAATTCAGGAAATCGATAACGCTTGTGGTCTAGGGTTGCGTTCAAGGACGGCAATGCTAATGCCAAAACCTACTTTTCCCCCTCCACCTGTAAAGGCCGTATCAGACGTGCCGTTACCGATTACTATTAACGATTACGATTGGAAATTCGACCAATCAAAATGTAACTGCTTCTGGTTGCGATTGCCGTTGTATGTTTAGGTTGGAGTCTAAATTTTACGAGGCCGTTCTGAACCGTAGCCAATGAATGCGCTTGATGTGACATGTGTCTAAACGTCACTTTTTTAGTTTTGCAATTATCGTTTCTGGTGTTGCACCAAAACCGATTTTGGTTTGGATCTTTCTCTTTCCTCTTCTTCCAATATTAATCATATAGCACAGCAACGCAGAAGAAACTTTCCAACGACGTTCGGCATTGTACTTTGAATATTTTAGCCGTGACATTTTGACGTTACAAACATTTCAAGCGACCAGTAATCGGTAACGGAACGGTGTCAAGTGTTTGCAACCGTGACGGCAACGGCAATAGATAACGGAATCGGCAACGGCACGTCTGATACGGCCTTAATGCCGAACCACGTAGGCTGGAGCCGAAATCGAACGCAAAATGCCAATTTTGGCTTGGCTGTAGTATTCCTGAACGCAGCCTAGGATAATTTAATTATTCTGGATCAGTTCCGAACTTGTTCGGAGTACTCCGAATTGGAGTAATCCATAAATAGTCGATAGCATCCTGTCACAAACAAACAAAGGGAGGCAAAACGCGTGCGCGAATCGTTCATCATCTTTTAAGAAGCCATTTTGTTATCGAAAAGACGTCCACATACAAGCTCCAAACGAAGAATTCAATTAACTCTTCAATTTGAGTTTTTGTGGTACTATTCCAAACACAATTTCGACCTCCTGAAATCCTCGAAGCCCCATAAAGGTAAGACAGGCAAGTCTGTGCCCATTTTAAAGTGAAAAATTAACAACAGTTTTGCCCTCCCAAAACAAAAAAAAATGTGTTTATAGTTTACCTTATAGTTCAATTTTTTTTTAGTTCGGTTTAAGTAAACGCGAAAAGTTTATAGGAAAAGACTCACAGTAGTTTTGTGCCGCGGCCCGATCAATAACCAAACGCGTACTTAGTAAAAAGTAATTTAAAAAGTAGTTACAGTAAAACCTATCGGAAAAATGAAGCTGCAAATTTTCTTTTCGAAGTGTTCATTGTTAAATGGTAACAGAGGAGTTGGCAGCTCTTCTCAGGTAAGACCAACCGAACCTACAACGGTCCCAAAATCATAATTACGATTACCACATAATGTTTTTTTTTTTGTTTTCGCGTTTCAATTTTGAATAAGAATCCATAGGTAGGTAGTTCTAATAAGACATGAATTTGCTTTAGTATTTACTTAGTCATAAGTTGGACAGAATAAGTATTATTACATAAATTGAGTTAATATTTTTTCTCAAAATCGCAAAATCCACATCAAAATCAGAGCTATGTGAACTGAGGTCCTTGTTGCTGGTAATGAATTATTTCACTTATATTTTGATAGAATATTGGAGAATAACTAAAATTATGTCAAATGAGCCTTGATCTTAGTAAGTACTAAAATGATGAAATTTTTTGTCGAGGGTTTCGTATTTCACTTATCATTTGGAACCCCCCAAACACCATACACTAAATTATTCCAAGATTTGAAGCCCAAATTTTTGGAAAAGGAACGTCAGGAAATAGAAAAATTGAAGAATTCACCCCACATTGCTAAACATGATTTTATATCTGGAACTATGAGTCCAAACTTCTAGGGATTTCAAGTCCTCCATGAGGATAAGAATCACTGCAAATTTCATCTTTCTATCTATAATAGAAAAAAATTTATGATGTTTCAAAGTTTTCAAAAATCTAATCATAGGGCAAATTAATGAGCTGACATTTTCAGGGATTTGTTACTCCCCCGAACAAGGAGCTCACTTCACAGAGATATTGAAACAAGATTGCCCCAAAATATCTAATGCCTAGGTACTTGAGCTTCAAAATGGGAGATTAAAAATACTTCTGATAGGCATATAATGTTATGGAGCAATAAATGAGTGTCTGTATTTTCTGATTTGTAGAAATTCTTTGCTGACTGAAACATACCTGCATAGGTACAGTAGTTAGTTACTGATAACGGGGCCTAGATAATCAATAGTTATATACCGGGTGTTTTTCAAAACCCGCTCACCCCTATAACTTTTTTATTTTTTCAAATAAACAAATGAAATTTGGTGTGTTTATTTATGACCCGGATATGCATTATTTGACGTATTCAATTTTTTTTCTATCACTTCCGGTTTGACCAGAAGTGACCCTAACTTCCTTATTTTAAATGAGACGCCAGGTAAATTTTTCCCTCGATTTTTCCTCATTTCAATAGAAAACTACATTACGAGTACAATGACACCTCATTTGTCACTTTTTGACATTTCACCTCCAAATTATTTAAATTTTTACTTTTTAATCTAGAGCGCCATGAATAAGTTAAAATGCTTAATTTTGCTCCTAGAAACATGGGAAAATTTGTTTTGAGGTTATTTTGAATTTTATATCCTCTAAAGGCTCATTTAAAGTTAGTAGCAGCGCATTTTTGGAATTATCAATTTTTTCAAATGGAAAGGGTATGGCTGATTAGCATATTTCGAGAGAGCATTTTCTAACAAACAATTCAGTACCACACAATCGCTAGTTTATTCAAATATTGAACTAAAATTTTCCAAAAATATTTAGAATGGTAGAGACATTCTTAATTTGAGTGATGAACTAGCGATTGTGTGGTACTGAATTGCTTGTTAGAAAACGCTCTTATGCTCATGAGCCATACCCTTTCCATTTGAAAAAGCTGATATAATTCTAAAAATGCGCTTCTACTATCTTTAAATGAGTCTGTAGAGGATATAAAATACAAAATAGGATCAAAACTAATTTTCCCATGTTCCTAGGAGCAAAATTAAGCAATTTGACTTATTCATGGTGCTCTAGATTTAAAAGTAAAAATTTAAATAATTTGGTGATGAAATGTCAAAAAATGACAAATGAGGTGTCATTGTACTCGTAATGTAGTTTTCTATTAAAATGAGGAAAAATATACCTAGCGTCTCATTTAAAATAAGAAAGTCAAACCGGAAGTGATAGTAAAAAATTAAATACGTCAAATAATGCACATCCGGGTCATAAATAAACACACCAAATTTCATTTGTTTATCTGGAAAAATAAAAAAGTTATAGGGGTGAGCGGGTTTTGAAAAACACCCGGTATGTAGGTTTTGCAGTATGCTTAAACATAAAAATACACTATATGTTTCTATATGTGTATCAAAGCCTTGTAACCTAGTCTGAACAAGTTAGGGTTGTAAAGTTAGCACCCATTTTCCATCACTTTCAATAACCTCCCTTTTTTCTAAAGATTGCTTAAAAAAACCTTCAAAATGCAGAACAAAATCCCTATGGAAAACCTGCCATTAATATGACAAAAAAAATCATAAAAAAAAAATTTGTAGGATTTTTTATCAATTCTCAAAATGGGCTCTTTCACTAATTTTTGAAATTGGCATATTTGGATAAAGCAACTGAAGACAGAATTTTCTGTATTTTTACTTTTGAAAAATTCATAGTCCTTCTTGAGAAAACAGAAAAAAAAGAATTACCTCCAAATAAAAACCCAGAATTTATTTCTATGACGTCGCAGCAAGCAATTTGACCGTGTTGCCACTAATTGTCGACATTGAAAATTTGTAATAGATTTAATTCTGAAATGTTCGCAAAATATCATGAAAAGTAGTTAAATTAATCACTTATGGATTCAAGATTTTATAACTTTTTTATTGAAATTATGTTTAAACACAATTTAATACAATTTTTTATGTTTAGTTTTATTTTATTTTTTTACGTTGCACTACATCTAGTCACCACCGACAACAGCGCATTCGAACCTTTACCTGCTTTTACTACAGGGTACACAGCCGAGGCGGTAAGCTCCTTTGTAACAACAAGCGAAATGAAAAATATTTATGTGACGTCAGCAAATCGGCGCGTTTTAATTTAATTTGAATTTAGCCAATTTGAAATGCCTGTAAAAAACTTATTTAACCTTGTAGAACTTTTTTTTTTGGTATATATGCCTAAAATAGCCCCACCTTTGGGATTTTATACTCAAATTACGTATTCAAATTTTAGTGAAAGACCCCATTGTGTTTTTTTCCATATTCCAAAGAAATGGTAGCTTATCCCTCAACTATAAGGGAAGATTTTTGCTCAATTCCTTTTTCCAAAAGATCTTTTATTTCCAAATTTGGATACAAAGTGAAGAATGTGTTATACAACTGTATATCCCTTAAACAAAAACTCAACTTTTCTCTCTTCTTAACAGAGATAAACTTGAGGAATGTTTGACTGTTTGAGATATGAAAACTACCCAAATTTCTGATAATATCCAGAAAAAAATCAATATTTGGTCTCTTAAGTCAATATAATTCACCTGCGTATTTCAAAACCAAGTATAGAAGCTACTACTCAACTAACTCAACCATTTCACATCGAAATCTGCTGTTTAAGTGCCTCAAATGACTGAGTTTTTTTTCAATTTTAACAGTTTCATAAAGAAAAATTGCCAAACCTAAAATATACCCCATCAAATGTTCTGCCTTCATTTAGAGACAATTCAATTCAGTAGATAATTGGACCAAAGGGATTTTAAAATTAAAACTACACAAGAAGAATAAATAAATCGAATTGTTCTCAGCTCGGGCATCGACAATGCCCGTGGTGGAATCGGACGACTCTAGAAGTCCATCTTCTAGCAACGACAGCCGCAATGAGGGCCCACAGAGCCCTTCCAGTCAGCCGCCAGATAGCCCTGCTAGCAGCAGATCTCGCAGCCCTCCCAGCCGACCCAGGAGTCCTGATAGTGGACCTAGAAGCCCAGACAGTGTTAGGTAATAATATTAATCCTCTATTTAGCATATGGCAGCACCAAAGTATTGAAGACCGTCATCCTTGACCAATGTGTCAAAAACCTCTACTCTCTATACAAAAAATTAATGTTTTTTGTTAATTTGTCAATTGTACATAATAATATGTTCCTTAAAGTTGAGTGCTGTCAACTATAAAGCCCAGATACTTTATTTTCTCCACCAATTCGACTTTATTCTGTTCAATCAGTATGTGAAAATCACCTACCCTGTATTCATTTTGATATCTGGAATTCCTGATCAATATAAATTTTGACTTGCTGTTATTCAACTTATGTGAATTTGAATCGAACCATCTATTTAATTCTTTCATATCCAAATTAATTTTATCAACCAAACATTGCAAATCCTTTGAATAAAAATATATGAGTGTATCATTTGCAAACAAATGAACCGAACAATATTTTATGGCCCCCAAAATGTCATTAATTTACAAGAGGAACAGCAAAGGTCCCAAAGTACTCCCCTGCGAAACACCATTGTCATTTGAGAGGTCTGTGGACGTTTCTCTTTTAACTCTCGTTCCCTGGTTTCTATTTTCCAGATAAATATCACTATTTCTATAGTCTCAGCATACCAGTAATAATCTCCTATTAATTTCATCAAAATCTATCTTTCCCCTTGTGTTAATAAATAAGTCGTCCTCCCATGTCCCTGTAGGCTGCAAATATAACTGCACTATAATGATCACTTATCATTGGAGCCTCCAAAACCTCACTCATAAAATGCTCTTTATGATTGGTTATAACCAAATCTATTAAACTGAAAACTCCCTCCAGTATCTGAAGGATGCGTTGCTGTTTCAACTATTTGATATAATCCCGCGTCACTAACAATTTTTTTAAGCTTATCGAATGTAATACCACAAGAGGTTTCAGGATTACCGGATAATACTTTTATTTGTCACTCATTTGTAAAACGTCACTTATCAAGTCAAAACATAACCAGCGAAAATTGATTTTTACGAGCTACTGGCTCTACTGACTTGTAAAATTGACAGCTAAACTATAAAAACTTTTTACAAGTCAGTAGAATTATTTATTTTTGAAAAATCGGTTTTATCACAAGAATAATTGCTTGTAGGTACCTTCTGGGAGACTTTTCTGGTGATAAACTGTTGGCTACGACTGCAGCTTCATTAATAATATCTTGTAATAAATTCATTTCTGGAAAAAAATTGCAAAATGGAAATCTGTCAAAAAACCTATTTATAACTAGAAACAACGTCTTAACAACGTATCATTCTCATAGTTATACCAACTACCAAAACTTCTGTGAGAAAAAATCAAGGAAAAACATATAAATTTCAAATTTTTGTTATGTATTGATTTTTTATTTGTCCCTATATCTTTTACAAATGAGTAACAAATAAATTATTGTACATTATACGCCAGGTAGCAGTTTTTACTGGCTCTTGAAGGTGACAAGCTCGCCTGGCGGCTCGCTAGTCATTTCCTTCAATCGCCAGTAAAAACTGTTTTACCTGGCTAATAATGTAAAATACTATTACCTGTCACGAAACGCGTTACGCAGCAACACTACGACTCCGAAGGAGGATTGGTGTTGCTGGTAACGCTTTGAGTGTCAGGTAAAAGTATTAGGTAATCCTGGAACATCGAGTGGTATTCAAAAGGTTATACAACGAACTAAACTTTAATATTTTATTAATTTCTAATAATTATGATTAATGGCATATTGCCACAGAGCGCGATAATCCCAAAAGGCTTATCACGTATTAAGCCTCTCGTGTCATATGGGAATAATGTACAGTGAGTTGTATAATCTGTATAAGTTGACTTATCTGTTAACCAATTAATTAATAAACTATTTATTGTTCTTACTAACTACTATTCAGTGACTTGTGCATTGAAATTATTGAAATAGAAATCTTTTCAATTTACATGCAAAAATGCATAATATTTTCCTATAAAATTCAATCCTTTTTTACAAAGTCTTCATTATAAAACTACATTATTCAAGGTCTAGAAGTCGCGAGTCCAATGAGAGCCGTTCCAGATCGAACTCCCTGAAAAGCAGGTCAAGATCGCCCGTAGTAAACGGTTCGAGAAGCCCAAGTCATGATAATGCCCGCAGATCAAATTCTGCATCGTCTTATGACGGATCTCCAAGAAGAAGTCCGAACAGTAGGTCTCCAAAAAGAAGTCCGAACAGTAGATCTCCAAAAAGAAGTCCGAACAGTAGATCTCCAAGAAGAAGTCCGAACAGTAGGTCTCCAAAAAGAAGTCCGAACAGTAGATCTCCAAGAAGGAGTCCGAACAGTAGACCTCTAACGCCGAAATCACCTTCGGTTAGTCCTGTGAGGCAAGCAGGGAGTAGGTCTCCAGTGAGTTCAAGGGAAAATTCGCTTGATGGTTCTAAAAAATCTAAGTCACCTGTAGAGGATTCACCTAGGAGGCCTCAGCAACATACTTCCAATAAGGTAAGCTTTGTTGATGGAATTTATTATTAAGGCCTCTGTAATCTTGGTAGATTTAGACATAACATATTTTCTACCGTAAAACCAGAGGTAAATTAATTTTTCTCAATTATTGTTGTATAAAATCATCTGGTTGAGAGAGCCCCCAATTGAATCGGCCAGACTATTTTTAAGGTTCTGAATAGCTGGACTCTTGATTGTGGGACAAAACACTAAATAATTATTGTATTGATGATAAAACTGACCCTATATTTTGTTAACCACCAATAGTGATGTGAACAAGGGAACGTTCTGATTGTACTTTCGAGAACATTCGCGAACGTTCGCGCACGAAAAAAAGGTTCGTGCTGAATATTACCTTCGGAGCACAATGAGCATGATAGAGAATATTCAGCACGTTCTCAAGCACGATCCTAACCAATAAAATCACATGACGCCATAGAGTAGAGATATATTTATGGAAGCTGTTGAAGGCGAAGATATATCGAATATTGAGCCCGAGAACCAGGAAGCAACTTAGCAGCAATAGTTATTTTTTTTTGGAAGCAAAGGTAGCGTTGTACTGGAATATACTCAAACTAAAATCACTATTTTATTTTATTATCAAAAAAAAAAAGAATCCTAATGATAATTGTATGTTGAAGTTTCACAGAAAACCCCAAATTAGAATAATTATTGTTATCAAACATGACACAAGACACAATTCACAAATTATGTGATTAATTATGTATTAAGTAGGCATATTTTCCTAAGAAGTTTGAGAACTTTCAGCACATTTATCAAGAATTTTCAGAATATTCAGAACTTTCACGAGAAATTTGGGAATTTCGGGAAATTTGAGAAAAATCAGAATTTATTTAGAAAAATGTTTTGTTTTATTCAGCTTCTGATAAAAAGCATAAATTCTCGGGTCCTGCTCGTTTTTGCTCGTTTATTCTCGTTAATTCTCGATCCTGCTCGGAGAATGTTCTCCTAAAATACTTGCTCGAGCATTTTACATCACTAACCACCAAATAGGTGGAAATAATATAAACTGTAGCATTTCCAGCAATTACAGAATGGAAGCACCAATTGATGCAGTTTGGTTAGATATCCAAATAGGAAGTATAATAATATCCCTTGTATGCATTAATAGGCCAGGTATCACAACCAGTGAGGAAGCCAATACACTTATGACAAATACTGTAAAAAAGGCCTACACCCAAAACCACTCCATTTATACTGTGGCAGACTTCAACTACCCAAACATAAATTTGGAAAACCATATAGTTGCACCTCCAGACAAAAAAAACACAGGAAATTATGGACATGTATCTTGAAACAAATGTATGTGCATCAAACTGTAAATTTTTCAACAAGGTACAGGAATAATCCGATATCACACACAAGGTCGTTGGTCGTCCTAGTATTTACATCGCTCCGTCGTTTTTCATTTTTTCTTGCTTTCATACTCAAAATTAATTTGTGAATTTTCGCAACAGTTGTGCTTGGTTTGTGATATACGCGTTCTGTGAATTGTTCGTGTGTTAACGGTGGCAAATTGGTTATTATTAGTTACTTATCCCATTGTTCTCAGTCTGCATTGCTTCAAAAGTATCAAGGTTACTTGGATAAAAAATTGTGGTACCTGTTTAAATTGTTTGAATACATTATTTGAATAAATTTATTTAAATAAAAAAAAAAAAGGAACAGCAACGAGTGGTATAGATTGCTGAAAGCAATAAAATCTATAGTGCGTTTCATCTAATTTGAACACAGTTTCACCCTCGATTATTGCCATATATAGCCTGTCCCATATTACATTCAGCTTGCGGCTCAAATTATTGAGAACAATGTCGGCGTGCTCCAAATGTCGTATCAATTTGACAGATAAAGAGGTGGAATACAAGATAATTTGTGACTTCTGTGGGTCCTGGAATTGCGTGGCCTGTTCAAGGTTCTCAACCTCAGAGGCTCAGGTGACCCGGTTAAAATCCAGAGTAATGCTTTATGCGTTCAGTGGCTGTGTAAATTCCGTGAAGTCGCTTGGTAATGATGTTGGCGGCGGCTTGAAAGTGCTAATCAGAAATATCACCAGTGAGGTGTGTGACACACTCTACACCAAACTTGCAACTAATTATAATGATTTAAAGTTGAAACTGGATGGTGTTACTGACACTTTGGTGAAATCAAAGCCACTCTTTCTTCACTGGAAAAACCAATCACTTCTGCAGTTAATAATCTTTCGGAAATAGACAATACTAGCGTTATCATGCCTAACTCAGCGGCATCTGCTGTTTATGATATGAAGCTAAGGGAACTGGAACAAAGTAACAAAGATTTACAGACAAAGTTACTCAAACTTGAGAATGAGTTCCAGCTGCTTACTGCAACCCTGAATTCTATGAAAACTGCATCAAGCTGCTCAGGTTCTTCGCAAACCCCATCTCAGTTCCCTCCTAATCTGCGGGCGGTACCCATCAGGAATGAATCAAGAAGCTTTCAGTCATCAAATAGCCTGCAACTAGCTGGACAGCAAAAGTCCCAGCGACCAATCCGCAGCATAGAGCGCCAATCAGTGCCTAATCCTGTGAGAGTATCGGACCGGTCAAGTAATAATCCTGTATTAATTGGCACAGGTGCTGATGGAGGTCTTTTTTCTGCAGGTGAGAGACGCCAGTGGCTATATCTGGGTCGATGTGATCCGAGTACCACTGAGGAACAGATCTCTAACTATTTGAAGAATCAGCTCTCCATTCCTGATGTCAAATGCTTGGTGTTGGACAAAAATGAAGATGTGGTTTCATTTAAAATTGGGGTTAAAGAATCACTTTTGAAGGGCCTGCTGGATCCTAACCTCTGGCCAGTAGGCATTGCTGTCAAGGAGTTTCATCCTCGTCGTATGGGGGCAAAACCGTCCAATGCAAATTTTCAGAGAGGAGACAGAGAGGACCAGTCTCGTTAGATTGTGCTTCCTTTCTCTACCAAAATGTAAGAGGCTTAAAAACCAAACTCAAAGATGCTTTCTGTGCGGCTCGCGCCGAATCTTTCTCAGTTATTGCACTTACGGAAACCTGGCTAGACTGTAGTATCTGTGATGCCGAATTTCTTGACTCGCGTTACACGGTTTATCGCTCTGATAGAAGCAGTCTGAACAGTACTAAAAGCCGTGGAGGTGGGGTCCTTTTGGCAGTAAATAATTGCCTAAAATCTCATCGCCTGTCAATTGGTGAAGCATCGGTTGAGGAAACGTGGGTGTCTGTTACGCTGGGTGACATGGTCTTCTGTATTGGCTGTGTCTACATCCCACCTACCATGGATGTGCTCCATTATGAAAACCATTTGAAATCAGTTGCTAGTGCCTGTGAAATGTTTGATAATGTGCTTGTTCTTGGAGATTATAATCTTTCCCAAATAACGTGGTCCACTAGTGAGGATCTCTCGGGTTTATTACCTGGAAATGTAAGGACAACTAAGGAAATATTGTTATGTGATAGTACTGCTTCTCTTAATCTGTCTCAATACAATGGGGTGGCTAACGATCATGGTTCAATCCTGGATCTATGTTTTGCCAACTTTGGGCCTATTTCACTTGTAACATCTGACGGTCTGGTGGGATGTGATCGTTATCACCCAGCTCTAGAGTTTTCCATACCTGTTGTTAAAGCTAAATTTCTGAAGCCTCTTAATTATTTTTCTTATGACTTTAAAAATGCCAATTTTGATTTGGTTAATGAATATTTTCTTTCCTTTGATTGGCGATCCATTATGATGGATGATCTAAACGAAACTGTTAAGAGCTTTTACTTGGTACTGTTCGACTGCTTTAATATGTTTGTTCCAATAAAGGCACATTCTTACAGCGAGAAATTTCCTATCTGGTTCTCTAACGAATTGAAAAATCTGATTTTTCAAAAGAAAATTGCTCACAGACGATTCAAGCGGTCGAATAGAGGTTTGGATTACTTTGCATTTAGTACACTTCGGCGAGATTGTAAAAACCTCACCAAAGAGTGCTATAAATTATACATAAGTGATACTGAAAGAGCCATAGGCACCAATATGAAAATTTTTTGGAACTTTATTCACTCCCAATCTAATCAGGGTACTATTCCTAACGAAATGTTTCTTGCCTCAGAAAAGGCGTCCAACGGTGTTGACATAGCTAATCTTTTTGCTGTCTATTTCTCCTCCGTCTATAACCCTCAGAGAAATTCCGACGCTGGAACCTTTGCTGATCGATTTGAGAATGTTTCAAGCATTGTCATAGATCCAACAGATATTGAGAGGGCTTTAACGCAATTGGACATCAACAAGTCTGCAGGACCTGATGGTATTCCCAACAAAGTACTAAAATCTTGTTCTAACACTTTGTATCTTCCTCTGTTTAATATTTTCAACAAATCATTATCTTCTGGAATTTTTCCAGAAATGTGGAAGCTCTCCTACGTTTGTCCTATTTACAAGTCAGGCAGCAAAAATGATGTAATAAATTACAGACCCATCAGCATTCTGTCTGCGATTCCAAAATTATTTGAGCAGTGCGTGGAAGGAATTCTTTCAAAAATATTTCATCAGATTGTGATCAGTCAACAGCACGGTTTTACAGCCGGTAGATCCGTTGAGACGAACCTGTTTCTCTTTACAACATTCATAAATTCATCATTTGCTAATAATGCAGAAACTCATGCAATATATACTGACTTCAGTAAAGCCTTTGATAAGGTAAATCACAACATCCTTCTTTCAAAGCTTTCAAGTTTCGGCGTTGCTGGACATTTATTTTCATGGATGAAATCATACCTTACTAACAGAATGCAACAAGTCAAGATCGATGGCTATCTTTCTTCTCTTTTCCATGCATCCTCTGGGGTACCCCAAGGTTCTCACTTGGGCCCCCTTCTATTCAGCTTATTTATCAACGATTTAGGATCGTTGCTCTCGTCAAATTTTTTACTTTTTGCTGATGACTTGAAGTTGTATCGTCAGGTGACGTCAACTCAAGACATACTTATTTTGCAAAATGATCTTAACATCGTTCACGATTGGTGTCAGCTTAATTACATGTCCCTCAACATCGATAAGTGCTGTTGTATAAGATTCAGTAGACGCACCCATAGTGTTCCCTTGCAGTATTACTTAAACAATGTTCGCTTGTCTGAAGTTTCTATCATTAAAGATCTTGGTGTCTATCTAGATACTAGGCTAATGTTCACTGAGCATTTTGAAGTGGTAATTGGCAGGGCTAATAAAATGTTGGGGTTTATTAAGAGAGCTACTAGGGACTTTACAAGTATACACCCTATCAAAATTCTTTACACATCACTGGTCAGGTCCTTTCTTGAATTTTCATGCATAGTTTGGTCACCTTACTATCAGATCCACATCAATAGGCTTGAGAGTGTTCAACACAAATTTATTAAGTTTGCAAGGTACAAACTTTCGTTGAGTGGTGTAATTCTCAGTGAGGACCTGACTATGACTTATTTAGACTTATCTACTCTTGTTCGCAGAAGGGAATATTTTGATGTCTGTTTTGCATTTAAAATTCTTAACTACTACATAAAAAGCCACGAATGTCTTGAATGTTTTAATCTACACATTCAAAGTTATCAGACACGAAGTAAATCTTTACTGCACATTCCTTACTGTCGAACCTGGTACCTACTATTCAGTCCTGTGAATAGAATATCTGCCAATGTAAATAAGTTCTGTGCGGGCCTTGAGTTCTTTGGTTTATCTCTGGATAAATTTAAGACGAAGGCCAGGAGAATTGTTTTAGGTTAGATTTTTTTTTTTTAATTTAGATTTAAACTCTGTTCAACTTCAAATGTATTTTTCTTATACGTAAATAAATGAATAAAATAAATCACTTCTGGACCTTTTTCTCACCAATGATCCTAAAAGCATCTTTGATCTTTCTACAGAACCTCCCATTGGCCGCAGTGATCATATGGTGATTAAGGCGAAAAAACATTTAAAAATTCCACTTGAACAAACACAAAATAACTAGAAGAAATTTTCTGTCAATTTTGAGGAAATAAATAACTTCATCAGACTCCAACTAACAAGACATGTAGATTCACAATTTGAGAACTTCCAGTGTGTTATGCGAGATGGAGTGGAGAAATACATACCGGTCAAGCCAGTAAAAACTAACCCACAAGAACCGTGGATAAACCACTATTTATTCAGGGAAATAGATAAGAAACGTAGATTATGGGATAACTATAAAACAAAGAAAACACAAAATTATCAAGCTTACATGTTACAGAGTAACAAAACTAAGCAGAAGTTGCTTGATACCTGGAGAAAGTATGAAAATGGTCTTGCGCGGATTCGCCAAAAAAACTGTTTAAGTATATAAGTCGAAACTTGAATTCCAAGGTATCAACCATAACTTTAGAAGATCTTGCATCTGAGCAGTTTTTGATGGTGTAGCCATGGCAGAGAAATTTGCGGAGTAATTTGACACAGCTTTTACAACTGAAGCTTATCCGGCTCCAGCCCTGTATGACAATAGAGTAGAGAGGTCTATCAAAGAAATACAATTTACAACTGATGAAGTAGAACAAGCTCTGAAATGTTTGAAAAAAGACTCAAGCCCAGGACCTGATGAAATCCCAACAGTTTTTCTCCAGAACTGTAGTGCCACAATTAGCCCATTGCTTACAGGAGTGATGCAAGAATGTATGCTTGAACCAAAAATTCCAGCACCTTGGAAATATTCCATTGTCACGCCACTGTATAAAAAAGGAGATCGACATAGACCAGAAAATTATCGCCCTATTAGTTTTACTTTTAACCCGCTGAAATGTATGGAGAAAATTATAGTTAAGGATCTTTCTTTCTAGAGAACAATCTCATACCTTCATCCCAACATGGATTTCTACCAATCACTTATCTTTTGGAATCTCTAAATGATTGGACAAACAACTATGACAATGGCCTACCAACAGACGTTATCTGTCTAGATTATGAAAAAGCATTTGACAAAGTCCCACATAACCTGTTATTAGTGAAACTAGGACTTTGGAGTTAGAGGAAAGTTGCTTGCCTTGATCAAGGATCTGCTAGAAGATAGATTTTTTCAAGTGAGAGTTAATGGAGAGTTTTCCAGTTTCCATAGGGTAACTAGTGGCGTTGGCAGGGTTTGGTGATCGCTCCGGTGCTGTTCACAGCGTATCTTTTTTGATTTGGTGGAACTAATCCAATCAAGTGTTAAATTGTTTGCAGATGATAACAAAATCTATGCAAATCCTTTGATAGACGCTAACTCCTACGTATACTTAATTAACCAAGCCTTCAGAGACCACTGCATCGAGATGATATCTACCCTTCACAAAAGCTATATAAGGCCAGAAATAGAATATGCGTATACTATGTGAAATCGATATTACATTAAGGATATAGAATTTCTTGAGAAGATTCAGCGCAGAGTGACAAAAATTCCCCCACAGTTGAAACAGTTGCTGTATCCAGAAAGATTACTTGAATTCAATTTGACATCTCTTAAAAAAAAGGCACAGTGGCGATTTAATTGAAACCTACAAAATAAACAGTCTAAGCACCAAAGACTAATATTTTTAAAAATCGTGTTGACACAGAATTGAAAGAATAATTCATATGGTGGATATACTAAATCTCCATATCTTTTCAAAATTTTGTTAAAGTAACAATAGCTTCATCGGTTTCGACCACCTGCTATTGTAATTCTAATAATAATAATAATGATAATTTTTATTTTCAGGACTCTGATAGTGAAGACAACGTCTCGATAAAATCCAGAAGCTCCAACAGAAAATCCAGGACAAGAAGCTCCAGTTCGTCGTCATCTAGACATTCTAGGAGACGTTCCAGAAGCGAATCTGACTCTAGTATAAGCAGTGTAGACTCGTCTTCAAGAAAAAATAAGGATGTGTCATCTCGTGCCCCGGATACTAAACCCGAGGATATTTCTGATGGTGATATGGAGTCGGATCATGAAAAAGGCGAAACTAAAGAAAAAAACGAATTGAATATTTCCCATGAGGATTTATCCGATGTGTCGGATTTGGAAGATTCTATTGGAGGGAATTTGGAAACGAAAGAAAAAAATTCTGTGAATGGGAATGATGATAATCCTGAAGAAAAATCGTTGAGCATTTCCGAAATGAACAACGATTGCGAAGAACAACTAGACTTTGAAGCAGAAGATGGCGAATGTGACGATGTCAAATCCAAAAATGGCGATGCCAAGGAGGAAAAAGAAGAGGGCGAAGAAGATAATGCAGTAGCGGAAGCGAAAGAGGAAAAGGAATTGGAAGAAGGTGAAGTGTCGGACGAAGATGATGCCAGACCTGAGGAGACTGAACCAAGGCCGGTTTGTCGATTTTTTGCCCGGGGCGCTTGTACTTGGGGTGCCAGTTGTAGATTTTTACATCCTGGAGTTACTGATAAAGGTAAAAACAATAAAATTCTGTTGTAACTTAATCAGTCTGCACTCAGTAATCTAAGTATTTTTCTGCCAGCATGTAAAAGTGAAGAGTTTCCTTTGGAAAATGCATTTTTTCTATTACCAACCAACCATCCTTTAGACAGACATTGTTTGAAATTGGTGAATAATGTTTTTTGCATTGTAGATAAATTAGAATTGGTTTGTTTCAGGAAACTACACCATGTTTGACATGGTACGACCGATCTTGCCAGGCGAATATGCTATGGGACGTTTGGTAGATGAGCGATTATATAAGCCAGAGCCGACTATGATCGAATCGGCTTGGGAAAGAGGTTTGAGAACAGCCAAAGAGATGTTGAAAAAATCAATGAGACGCAAGGAGCAAGATATCGACTTTGAAGAAAAGAAAATGAATCTGAGCATCGCTCAGGAGGAATTTGATAAGGAGAATGGGTATTATGGGAGGATACCATCACCAGAACCAAGGTAAGATTTTAATTTCTAAAACAAATATGAATTATTGCTCTTGGACAGCTTGAAGCACCTTTCATAAGTTTGTTTAAGAGAACACTGGCTTAAGCCTCATGAAAGTTTATATCTTTGTAATTACACTACTTTGAGCAAATATAGTAGAAAGGACTTTATTCACAGCAGCTCAATAATTCTTATGAATTATAGCAGCACATCTTTTGGCTTTATACCTGTAAACAAATATGATGAGTCTGTGATGCGAAAAACTTTTTGAAATGTCGATTGTTTATTCAAAGATTTTAAATTTATATATTGTTTGTATTGTCACGAAACGTCTCTGCTTCGCTGTGTAGCTCGACTATTCACCCTGAAAGGCAGAACGGGAAGGGAGGAGTAACAGGGAAGCACCAGAACAGTTTTAAATAGTTAATATATATTGTTACAGGACGGAGATTATGGAAACATGAATATTTAGTTATTACCACATCATCGTCATCTGGGACCAGATAACGTCCCTTCGGGTGGTGAGGCTCAAAAAAGGGCGGACAGTCAAACGTCGGGTATACCCCTGCAAAGCTAAACAACCAAACCAGCCCTACAGGAAAATCTAGAAAGCCTTTTCACTGTAGGTCAGAGCCTGGGTCGTCAGAGAGTATCTGCCCTGATAGAGATACGATAGCGTATTAACTTTATCAGTCCAGATAGTTCCCCAACTTTGAGTCGTCTCTAAACACCTACTGATTGCAGCGAAGCGCTGAGACACGACTAATTTGCCATAGTTTGGCCCGGGCTTTTATATCCAATATTTGCTGACTATGATTAGGATAATTTGTGTTTTCTTGCTTAGTTGCAGTTATTTGTTATAACCCGTGGTTCAGTGTTTTGAATTTGGTTATAGCCCGTGGTCCCATGTAGGGTTGACAGTATATACAAATTTCCTAGTTCTAATTGTGAAGTGTTTTTGTATGTCATTGGGGCATGCATCTGTAATTCTTGTTGGTGATTTTAATATATATTATGAATGTTCTGAAAATGTAAATGTCCAAGCCCTCAATTACTTGCTTAACTGTTTTGGTCTGACCATGCATGTTGATAGTCATACAAGAGTCACAGAGTAGACAGCACCAATTGTGGATTATGTATGTTCTAATTTTTGTGATGGTCCCCATAATTGTTCTGTCCAGAATTCAGGCTTATCAGATCATGAAGCCGTTTTCTGTGAGTTTTCGATACCATGTCAAAAGAGTGTGCATGTTAACAAAAAGAAGGGACATCTGCTTTCTAGGCGCAACTACAGCCAATTCACAGATTTATGCACTAGGACGGTCTGGAGCGTTTTTCTGGGAGATAATGCTCTGCACTTATTTCACCTAACACTTGTTGATATCTTTAATGCCAGTAGTAAATATGCTTTATTGTCCAAGAATACAAAAATCTTATTGACAAAGCTAACCTAACTTAAGTTAAATTTTACAACTAAACCTAGAAGCCAACAAGTCAACAATATTTATCAAATCAAAACTAAAGTAGGCAATAATTTACAAAAATAATAAATAATAAATACATTTTACATAACAAAATTTCTTGACATAGGTTTCAAAGACTAGTGGACACAACAACAAAAAAACCTTTATTCAGTAGGTATGTCAGACAGACAGAGATAAAAACAATAAGTATATCATAAAAAAAAAAATATATAAAAATTGAAAAGTCCACAAAATGTTGAATTTAAGATTGACTAACTGTTGATGGAATAAGAGACAACTTTTAGTTAAAGGAAAAATTGAAACAATCATTGAGCGAATAGAAAGCTGGCTTCACCAGTGCTCCCTTTAAGGTTTTGCGAAACTTTGAGATATCTGATATGGTTCTGAAATTTAAAGGCAGCTGATTATAGATCTTTATGCTATTATAAATTATTGAATTTTGCACCAAAGCCGAATGGGGGGTCGGAAGAGGAATGTCGTGCCTTTGACGAGTCAAGCAAGCTGTCTGATGAACAGGGAACATGGCAATGTTTTTGTGTATTAAACTTTGGGTCTTCAATATAAAAAGGCAGGGTAATGTTAAAATTTCATATTTGATGAAAAGCGGTCTACAGTGATGTCTAGGAGAAGCACCCGCAATGTAACAAATTGCACTTTTTTGTAGTTTAAAAACAGATTGAAACAAAAACTGGCTACAAAAACCCCAAAATGGCAAACCGTAGGAAAGTTGAATAAAAGTTTATTCGCATCACACTAATTCCTAGCAACAACAATTTCGCGTGAAATTGTCCAAACCAGATCATCAGGGTCGTCCTTGTGCCATACCACAGTAGCATCATCCGCAAAAGCAGCAAACATTCCAGTTATATCCTGGTGAAATATATCGATGATGCATAATAGAAATAGGATTGGTCCCAGTGCAGATCCTTGAGGCACTCCGTGCTTGATAGAGTGATCCGAAGAGTACTTACAATTTGCTGAGACGCACTGGCTTCAGGAGGAGGGATAAGATTCGAACCACTTCAAAACCACACCCCTGAATCCATAGACCTTAAGCTTCCGCAGCAGTGCACTATGATTCACGCAACATGAGACATGAGACAATATGGCGGGCAATACTGATGTCACGCAATTCACGAATGAGTTGAATAACCTTACAAAAGATGAGTTAATTTTCATAATTATACATAAAAAGATACCGGATGGTCGTGTAGTTAGTGAAGATCTTCGGGAATATGTGGAAAGTCATTTAAATAATGCTGAAGAGAACTTTTTTGATAGTGACGATCATGTTAAATGTGATAAGGTGAAGTGCATAAATTCATCTGCTGACCTGCGGGTAGCAAAGGTTGAGATTGCCGCAGCTAAAATGCTTGTCGAGGAGAAGGACAGGTTAGTAGAAAACCACAATTATATAATTAAACTTTTAAAGTCATCACCTCAAAGTGAGGTTACGAAGCACTGTAAACAAACCGAACCAAAACAGCTACTGTCGACCGCGAACGCAGTTTTGGACACCGCCAGTGGAGGCTACGCCCCAGTAAGTCCTAGGGCTGCAGGCAGTCGCCGCAGCCCCACCCAGTTCGAAAGGTCGGCGAAACGACGATGATGGTGCCGCAGCCGACAGCGCTCGGCAGTACCAACAGTACCCGAGAAACACGCACGTTAAATCAGTGCCGCCTGCAACGGCGAAAGCAAATTCAAAATCCAATACATCGCAATTGCCGCCCGCAAGCACAATCATAAGCCCGGTTGCTGCAATATCAGCCATAGAAAATGCAACAGAGGCGCTTGATAAGGATACAACTCCATTTAAAGAAGTTACATAGAGGAAAAGATGACCAAAAAATAACACCATTATTGGGTCAAATACAGCGAGTACAATATCTCTTAAACAGCCCCTGAGGCTTGCGTTTCTACGTGTTTATAAACTACATCCAGAACCGACTATTGATGATTTAACACAGTTTTTGAAACCAATATTTCCAGAAGTAATTGTAGAAAAATTAAACTCCAAATATCCTAACTATGATTCATCGTTCAAAGTGACAGTAAGTGAAAGCAAACTAGATGCAGCTCTTACTCCTACCCTTTGGCCGAGAGGGACATGTGTCAATCGTTTTTTTCACCCTCGAATGACGAAATATCCATGGATGTACATTTAACCGAATCTGATGTTGTTTCATCTATTGCATCATTTGACAGTGTCCTTCTAAATATTCAAGGATTGACCACTGAAAAAGCGGACATTTTAAAAATAAATTACGAACGGTCCAAGCAATCAGGTGATAAAAATTTGACAATTCCTGGTTCTGTGCTCAGGACGTATTTTTCGAGAAAAATCTCGGGTAGGAGGTGTTGCAAAAGCGGAAAACACTCCATTTTCTGATCATGAAACAGTTTTGTTTAATACAGGAGTTTTGGGTAATAAACCGAAACCAAAGATTTTTTTCAGTAGGTCCTATAATACAGATATTGTTAACTCTTTTATTTCTGAACTTAATAGTCAGGATTGGTCCGAAATTTATAGAATAACAAATAGTGATGAAAAGTTTTATTATTTTCACAATATCACACTAAATCATTTCTGTAGTATTTTTCCTCTGAAAATAAAATACCAAAGGGAGCAAAATAATGCTTCGATTGATTACCCACGAAGTTAGAGAATCCAGCAAGGCATTAAAACTATTACATAGACGCACCAAAACGTATCCAGAGCTGGGTGTTGTATATAAGAAGGAAAAATTGAAGCATAAGAATCTGGTTAGTAATACAAAAAAGCAGTACTATCAGAAAAATTCATCAATCGGAAAATCATTCAAAAACCGTTTGGTCAGTGGTTTCCGAAATTTCTAAGGAACAACATACTGATAAAAATTATCAAACCATAAAATTGAAAAACCATAGCGGTATCATCATAGACGAACCAAATGAAGCCAATTATTTTAACCAATTTTTTGTCGATGCTCCCACCAGTATACTTAATAATCTTTCGGTACCAGGAAGGTCGCTGACTCGTGTTCTAACTTCTGAGTGTAAATCCAGGATGTCTGTGCCGCCTTCTAGCGAGCACGAGATCATTGAAGTTTTAACGATCAAAATTAAAAATAAAAAATCCTCAGGCCCGGACGAGATTCCAGCGCATATCTTTAAGCAAGTTATGACTTCTTCCTGCATAAAGCCTCTAACCTATCTAAATAATGAATCCTTAAGGACTGGCATATTCCCATCTTGCTTCAAGAATGCTAAAATAAACCCTATCTTCAAAAAGGGGGGCCCCTTACTTCCTGAGAACTATTGTCCGGTAGCACTTAGGTACCTCGTGTTTTTCCAAGGTTTTCGAGTATGCAATGCTCAGGAGACTACTCTGTCCAGGTAAAAAAGGTGGATCACATCTTCTGAATGTTGATAGTGTTCCTCAGGGATCCATTCTGGGTCTTGTTCTTTTTATTGTCGTTGTTAATCCTCTCTCCCTCGAAGCGATTCATAAAAGTATAACGGCATTTGCTGATGACAATTCCAGCATTGTCCGACTAAACCAGGAAGTTAGCGCCAGAGTTGCTGCAGATGTGGCTCTAAAGGAACTTATAGATTGGTTCACTGAACCAATTTATTTTCATGACACCACTGAGCTAGCCTGTTAAGGTCTTTTTGAAAATCCAGACAGTCCTGTTGACATTTTATTTTTTTTGTAAAATTTGCCGTCATCAGCATAAGTAAGAGAAAGTGAAGCTTCAAGCGAGTTGGAAATATCATTAGTAAAGATATTGAAGAATAATCTACACAAATGTTCACCCTGTGGGGCACCTGAGTTGATCTCAATCTCGGACGAAACATGATCACCAATTTTTACAACTCGTTCTCTTCTAAAAAGATAACTTTCCGTCCACTCAAGGAAAATGGCATGGACACTAACGGCCCGAAATTTAGAAAGCAGGATTCCATGATCCACTCTGTCATAAAATAAAATAAATAAATCCATGTTGAGGGGGAGAAATTAGATTTTTAAACAATGGCGAGATCTTATCAGCAATAATGCACTCAAACACCTTAGAAATGGTTGATATTTTGGATATTGTGGGGTAGTTCTCCACACTAGACCGGTCTCCACTCTTGAAACTGGGGGCTATATGGCTGCATTTCCAAAAATCTGGAAAAATTCCACTTGTTAGTGATTTATTGTAAATTTTACATAAGACAGGTGTGAGAATACATGCTGTATTTTTTAGGAAAATTACAGGTATTTTATCTGGCCCAGTACCAGGGTTATTTTTTAGTTTTAAGATGTACTCAAACACCTCAACCTCCAAGATATTCAAACTTCCTGTCAGTGTTAACTTATAGTTAAACTCTCCTATGGTGAATGATGACTTAAAAGTCCGTCGAATTTAATCTGATACTCGAAAGGAATGTGAGCTGGTTGCACCCTACATTACAACGCCAATGGTCACCTGACGTCATACCTGTTTTTGCCATATACTTCACCCCCTCGCTCCTCATACGAAAAGTGTCAGATAAAAAACGACGAACAATAGCAAGAATTAAAATGTGGCGTGACTCTAATCGGCTGTCATTTAATATTCAAAAGACATCCATCATGAATTTCAAGTGTAATCTTTTTCTAGATAATACCATTATAGGCAGAAGTATGAAGACCAAATATCTTGGCATGATTGTTGATGATCAGCTCAGGTTTGACAAACACACTGAGCATTTATGTAAAAAGATATCAGCATGCTTTGCTGTTAGAACTGTTAAGACTGAGCTGGGTGAATCAGTTGCTAGGACTGTGTATTTTTCTTTAATCGAGTCATATCTTAGTTGGGGCATTTGCTTCTGGGGTTGTTGCTCATTAACATTGTTCAATGTCATATTTGTTCTTCAGAAGCGTACCATAAAGTCAGTATGTGGTCTTAGTCCACGGAACTCTTGCAGACCATTCCTCATACTTTTATAGACAGACTTATTTCGTTTTGTATCTTGATTTTAGAATCTGTGTGTTTTATGCAGAAGAAGTACTCCTCTAATATTCATGCTCCCTCTTTAGTAAATACCAGAAGTTCACATGTAATTGATCCCACATCCTTGCTAACTCGAAAATCTATTCACTATAAGAGTAAAAAAATGTTTAATCACCTTCCTCATGGCATAAGAATAATAAAGGAGAGTAGAGAGTAGATATTTCAAGAAACAAGTCAAAAAATTACTTTTGGCTAAGGCTTTTTACTGTGTAGACGAATACTTTTCATTTCCTCTGTCTAATGGTTAATGATTTTTAGTTTTAATTTTAGGTTTGTTTTTAATGCTGAGTCTTTCGATCTTGCTTTCTGCATCTTAACCTCTCCCTTACCATTGCTTGACTAGTGCAATATTAATACATTTTATCCAGTTTTTATTCTTGTTCTATTCTCTTCATTTTCATGTACCTACTTTATTGATGATTTTAAATTAAATTGTATTGAAAGCTTTGTTATCAAGATTTGTATCAAGCATATTTTGATTTGATTTGAAATAATGTTGTATAAAAAATAAACTTATTCCAGGTTTGTCAGACACCTTCCCGAATACCGCCCCCCAGCGGAAGACTATTACGGTCGCAGGCCTGTAGTTTACGAACCAGAATATGCGCCTCCTCCACGTAGGGAACATCCGCGCCCTTACAGAGAAATGCCTGCGCCCAGAGCTCCACCACCGGATTATTATGGTGGTAATCCAAAATATGAGGAAGAAGTTATTCCTAGATCACATGAAAGGCATGAACGCCCAGAAGGGCGTGAAAGAGGTGAAAGGGAACGAAGGAAACCCAAAAGAGAAGTGATTGGTAAGAATTTTGTTGATTGTTATCTCAAAAGTTTAGACCCTAAAATCCCTACAACTTTTTTGAGCTTCAACTTTTCGAGGTTAAAAATATAAATGACCACCCTGTATGTACATACAAGCAGCTGAATAGTTTTTCAAGGTTGTTAGATTTTACAGATACCTATATGTCGTAATATTTGCCAGTTTGTGCAACACACCTGTCCCTCTATAAACTGCATACTTATCATCATACTTATAGTTTGCCACACTATTTACACATGGTAGATTGATTCTAAAGATGAAATTTTCTATACATTTTGTTAATTTCAGTACAAAGAGCAGAAAAAGAAGAAAGACCGACTAGAGCTGATGAGTGGCAAGATCCTTGGATGAGATCTAAATCTCCTGGAAGGAGAAAAGAAAGAAAAAGGTCATACAGTTCTGGATCAAGTTCTTATTCAAGCAGGTATGTAATACAAATTGAGTTTTTTTTTTAACATAATTTTAGCCATTATTATATTTTATTGGTAACATTTGCGATTGATTTTTCTAGCTCCTCACGAAGTTCAAGTGCAAGCAGCAAGAGCTCGTATCATTCCCGGTCAAGATCGGAGTATCGTCGCGAAAGGTCAAGATCAAAACAACGAGGCGGTAGACAGGTGTCGCCCTCCGTGATTGTGTCGGAAAGGAAAGCGGCCAATGAGAGGGCGGCACTGATGAACCCGCCGGCGCCGAAAAGACGCGCGCCGTCGCCAGGTAAGCGTAGTAAGTTGCTCGTTTTTTGATTTTATTTTTTTGTTTTGTTGGAATAATTGGAAAATAAGTAAGATTGGGTTTGATGTTACTAACATTATCTCTCTTTTTTTGTTGGTTTTGGCAGTATTTCCAACACTAGTGAAATATTTAAGGTGGAAAGGTAATTTATGTGGTTTGGCAATAATTGGTTTTTACATATGTAAGGAAATTAAGGCATAATTTTCATGAAATGTAACTCTTCAGCCCATTGCATTGCTTCTGAATAAATTTGCGGGCTCACATTTTAGACCATCTAAGGTGTCGGGCACTAACCTGTAAAAGGCTTTTGTTTGATTTTAGGACTTAAAAACAAGATCCATCAAATAAAAATATTTATATCTGAAAATTATGTCTTAATCAATCTATTTTGTTGAATATTGTGCACAAAAGCACTATGATTGTTGTAAGTTCAAAAACAAACTTATATGTATGGTAATAACTTGACTTGACTTTTTTGTGGACACTGTTTTTAAGCATAATGTTATTGTTATGAACTTTTTCACAGGCTCTGTATTTTCTGTACTTTTTCAATCAAAAAACGTGGTATCCATCCATGCTAACAGTCAGTTAAATTTCAATGGGAAGGCGTTTAGGGTCACGTGTTTGCTGTTTAAATTATTAATTTATTGATCTGATTAAAATCTTGTTAAAAAATTGTTCATTCTTTGTTGCATTCATGTATCGAAGTCAAAAAATATCAATATTTTCCAATATTTCCGGCGCTTGAAAGTGGTCTAGTATAATAAACTCTTTACTGTTTCTATAATGTGATTTTTATCATCTAGGAGTAATTCAACTACTCTGAATTAAGGAGTATCATCAGCAGTGATTTTTTTGGTTAAACTTTTCTCCATTAATATGCATAATAAAAAAAATGCTTTATATAAAAGTCATAGGAAATTACCTAATTTAATTGATCATTAGGTCAGAATTTTCAAATTCTAAATTTTAGTTTTTTTTTGCTTGAAAAAATGCAAATTTTCAAATTTGGGCCTAATCACGTGAAAGGGATAATGAATTTAGATATACAGTCAAAAAATAAAAAATATAGAAAAAATGGTTTGTCCAAAAAGCTTCGTCAAAGTATTTGGCCAAAAGTACGTTGATGCGATGCTACCGCGATCAAATAATCCCTTACAATAAGTTCTTTTGACAAACGCTGGCAACGATGCATAAGATGAGAGGAGCTCGGCAGCAGGCAGGCAAATAAAATTCGTCCTTTTCCAGGTTCTAGCGTTGTTCTAGCAATCGAGAGTTCTGGGAATCATCAAATTACCGCAAGAAAAGGGTTTTGTATGTGTGCATGAGATGATTTTTATTGGGGCTTATTGGTTCATGGTTTATTCTAGCAATAATATGCAAAATCTAGATTTTTTACTCAGAAAGATTCAACTAAAATGATCAGTTGACCACTTTTCGACATTTTGTTCTTCTGAAATCCGCATTTCTTTAGTTTAGTAGGTAGCTTGGCTATTGATTTAGCCATTTTCGAAATAAAGTCCAAATAAGCCAAAAACCGACTATTAATTAAAATCCTTGATGTTTTGATATAAGCATAATTTTCTAAATCAAAAAATGGCATTTTTTTGGACATGAATAGCGCATCTGGCCATAATTCAAGTGACCATACAGGGTGTTTCAAACATCAATAAGAATATTTCAATGAGTGATAGTTGGGGACGGGGTGATTCGGGAACTGTTTGCCATATTTACCCTGATACAAAGTTTCGCCGTTTTTTGAGATATCCCTATTTTTAGATATTTTGAATCCATGTATTTTAACACATAACTTGGGCTAAGTACATATTTTTTGTGTCAATTATTCGGTTTTTCTTTCCGTATTTTTCCAAAAGAGTGCATATTAGGAATATCGGAAAAAAAATTGGGAAAGGTGAAAGTCAAAAAAACGGTTTGTTTTAGGAACAATTCAAATATTTCCCAAAAATATTTAAAAATGCTGATATTTCAAAAACGACACGATACTTTGCATAGGGGTAAATGTGGTCAAACAGCTCTCAGATGACCCCAACTATCGCTCATTGAAAACTTCCTATCGATGTACCAAAGACTTTGCATATCTTACCATCAGTTTTCGGAATCTCGATATCATTGTATCAAGACTGAAATTTTAAACAATCTGTACATAAGTGATACTACCTACTAATGGAATTTCAACATTATAGTGTCATGAAATATTCAAATCTGATGGGCCCGAGGATGGGCCTTTATTTTTTGGTTGTTCTAGTTATTTTTTTGAATAAACCTGTTTTCAATTTCAACACAGTTTCTTTGTGAATTTATTTTTCCACCGTTTTTCAAAAAGTTTTCGCTTTAGCTGTCCAACAAAACTGTTTAATCAGACCTACAATAAAAATATTATTATGTGCCCATGTCGTAAATTACTCCCCAAATTATAAGTGGTTTTTGGTAATTATTTCACATTGAAAAGAATAGGCAATAATATTGGTAAACGCGACAAGTTAGGTACCTACCTACCTACGAAGAAGGCACTGTTGCCAATGCAAAAATATGGTCTAGTGGCAAGCGCTCCGGTCGACTATGCTCGAAAGGCGCGCCGTCGAAATAATTTTTCACTGATGATACCCCTTAATATTGACTGTTCAGATCAGAAACAGAGCCTGAGAAGCAATCTAGAGTGTGTTTGAAAAAGAGTAAAATTTTCCTCTAAATGAAATACAAGGTGATTTGCACTACTTTTTCATTATCAGGTAAAATTTTTTGTCTTTTTCTGAACGTACTCCTAATGGGTTTGAATGTTGAAAGCCCATTTACCATGTAAAATTCCCTCAAATCAAATAATCTTTACAGGTATGATGCGTGTAAGCACAGCAGCCAATCCTCCTGCCCCGTCTCGCGAGGAACATTTCAGCATGGGCTCATCAGGTAATCGTGGCCGCAACAACAAACTAGCAGTTGCCGCAGCTTTAGCAAGGGTCAAAGGTCGCGGCAAGCGTTCATCCCGGTCCAGTTCTGGCTCGAGTTCGGGCAGCTCTAGCGACTCCGAATCGAGCGAGTCGAGCAGTTCCTCGAGCCGCAGCAATTCGCCGCCTAACAAGAAAGCCGATTATGCCAAAGCCATGGACGCGTTGAAAGGAGAAAAGACGAAAATTAAATTAAATTTGAAAAATCCCGCTGGACGTAGTAAAGCAGATGGGAGTGATTCAGCTGGTAGGAAAGTTGATGCAACTGCATCTAAAAAACGGCCTGCGTCGTCGCCTCCCTCTGGTGGCGATTCAAAATCGAGCAAAAAAGCAACTTCAAGACGAGAAGAGTTATTGAAACAATTGAAGGCTGTTGAAGATGCCATTGCTAAAAAACGTTCGAAAGTTTAAGTCGGTGTGCATTCAATTTTTCAGTGTTAGAATAATGAAACTGTGATGATCCGTTTAACAAGGTTGCATTTAGGCAACATAGGGGGTGTAATTTTAGTCAAAAACTATATTTGACTTTGAGCATTGCATTAAATGTCATTGCATCTAAAATCAAATCTGGAAGCCATAATTTTGGGTTTTATAATGTTTTGTCACCCTCTTATAAGGTTGCTTGAGGATTAGAGATATTCATTTCTGAGCCAATTGTAGGCCAATATAAATAATTACAAAGAGCATAAATACATTTTTGTATGAATGGAGAGTAATTAGGGATAAGGAAAGTTTTTTTTTTAGCGTTTCTTCTGTCGTGAAGTTCAATTAGATTAGATTTAAATGATAATTATCAAAACTTGATTTTTTTTCTGTTGTAGATTTGAATAATAAAATGATTTTTTTTTTTTAAATTATTGTTTGTTTTAAGGCCGCAACAACGATGAGAATGCTGTGCTCTGATTGGTTGATTTTGCGAAACTTGTTTTAAGTTGTTTAAAAAACCGGCACATCAGAATTGGCTCAAATTTGGCATAAACATTCTTTGATCGATTATCTACAATCCGCTTATTTTAGTTTTTCGATGTTTATCAAGCTCCGATCCGTGTAAAGCATATTTTATTAATAACCACAAAAAACTAAAAAAGCTAATTGTAGATAATCTATCAAAATAATTATGCCAAAGGATTTTGAAAATTATTGCAGATTCTTGGCAGGGCCGGATTTAGGCACAGGCAACTGAGGCAACCGCCTAGGGCGCCACGATTAGGGGCGTCAAATTGCAAACAAATTTATTTCGAGTGAACAAGTTACCTGATTAAAAAAAAATGTTTTGGGCCGTGTTTATGTTGGAGCTGTGATAAACGATAAAAGCAAGGATACTTGGGAAGCAACGAAATACAATGCCTGTGTTTGTATGCAGGTGTTTATGTTGGGGCGGCGAGTAGAGCAGCGCTTTTTTGTGTACAAGCGATAAGAGCAGCGAGAAGCAATTGTGTATATTTCTTTGCTTTTATCGACTATGAGTGTTTATCAAGGTTTATGATGTTATTATTTTGCCTCGGTGAACGAGGGAGTGTCTTTACAATAGTATAGTCCAACAAATACCATTTTAAAGTCACGTGATTTTTCTCTATCCTTGTTGAATACACCTCACACAGCGGTGATAGTAAAATTGACAAAAAAATTGCTGTCTAATTATTGTTCATAATATTCTTACCTGAAATAGAATCCGTCACTGTCATCAATTAGTTTGTCAAAGTTATTTTCGAAAATACTACAACAAACAAACACAGCTAATAATTTTGACCATATTAACCTTTTTCCAACTCGAAAAAAAGCAAATAGAAAACGGGTACCCAGTTTAAGTTCAGAATGTATTACAACAGATAGCGGATGTGACAAAAATGAGTCTCGCAACAATTGCAAGTATTAAAATTGCCCTCTGATTGGTCAATACTACTTCAGAAACGCGTTTGTAAAATGCTAGTGGGAACATATATTAAAATTCAATAGTAATTAACCGCCAGTAGCTTTTTGTAGGTGATATCAACGACATAATCAATGGACATACGTTTTTTGCCACCAGTATCATGTGACTTTAAAATGGTATTTGTCGGACTTTATTAATGCAACGATCATTTAATGATGAGCCATTAATACATGAGCATGTTGTAGGATACGAAACGAGCCGCATGCGAGCTTTGTATATCACATGCTCGTGTATTAATGGCCATTACATGAGAGTTGCATACACTTTTTTTATTTATTTATTTTATTTTATTTTATTTTATTTTATTTTATTTTATTTTATTTTATTTATTTTATTTTATTTATTTTATTTTATTTTATTTTATTTAATAATACAGTATCAACAGCACATGCCAATTACAGATACCGATCTTAAAACTAGTAAACAATAATTATTTGAAATTTAAAATTTACATGTTACAATCATGAACACTTCACATTAAATATATGAGGCTTCCTCGGAGCTCTAACAAGCAAAAACCCTTTCAAAAAACAAGATTATATAGTGAAATTAATTAAACAGTGTATGCACGTGATCAAAATTAAATACATAAGTACGTCGCAATGTTGCCGCTATTAACTTTCGTTTTACTTTGACATAGCATGTCTAGTAAAATTTGTTATCACTAAAGCAAACAAACATCGATTTTTATATGTCAATGGGTTCAAGGCAGAACGGCACAAATGCCATTTGGCATATTTTACAGGAGAGGCAAAAAACCGCCCAGAAGCTAAATTTTTTATTTTTTTCACATTTTTTTTCACCAAGCTATTGATATTTAGTATGGATTTTGTTGTTAAAAATTTCAACTGTCAAATGTTTAAATTAACATCGTATTTAAAAAAAAAATCCATTGTCGCTTGTGTCAAAACAGGTTCGTCGTGTGGCGTTTATGCCATTTACGCAGAGGCGTTTGTGTCAAATGAATATTGTATCTGGAAGGTGAAATGGCGGTTAACTGGATTTGTGCCAAAACACTTTTTTGTTTTAAACAATCTTTTTTGTCGTTTTTGCCAACAAAAATATTGCAATAAAAATGGGCCATTGCTCTAAAACCATTGCTAATAGTTTACGGCCCCTTGAGTAGTATTTTTTATCCATAATCTCTGTAACAAGATAGTAGTACAATAATAATTAATTACTTACTAACGGCATAAGCACCATACGAAGTAAACAGCAATTTTCTACAAGTTCCTTTATTAAATTCCAGCTTTAAAGAATTAGTTATTCAACTAGAAGCGTATAAAGTCAAATTACACTTTACATTAATTAAAAATTAACATCAGTGTGGGGAAAAAATGTATTTAAAGTGTACATTTAAATAACATAGTACTATGTCGCTTGTGCCAAATTGAATTACAAGCCATCGTTTTGGCATAAGCGCCAGAGAATATTTTGCCATAAATTGTAAACTTTCTCATATTTTAAACGCTTAAATTCAATGTTTTGATATATTTTAATACACTACATATAAAATTAATCAATGTCCTCACTGGTTTATTGTAAAATTCGCCTGGAAAAAGCCGTGAAGTGCGCTCATGTAAAGCTTATGGACGATTGGCGTTTGTGTCAAATGATTTAGCTAGGAAACCATTTTTTGACGCTTGTGCAAATAGTCCAGGAGGCACTGAAATTTTTTAGCACTTATTTTCCCAGTTGGCGACTATTAAGTTATAAGTAGTTTGTTCTAGTGATACAAAGCAAGAATTTTTGAGTCTGGCTAAAATTTTCGGATGGGTTCACAAGATCAATGAAAAATACAAGTACGCTTATTTTCCCAGACATAAATATTTCACATTTATTACAATAGAACATAAAGTATATGAAAATAGCAATTTGGCTTATATCAGATAGTGAAAGTGAGTCTGGCTGGAAATTTTCTGATCTTCAATTTTTCACTTGCCAGACATATTATCCATACTCACAGATTAGCCGGACTTTTTTTTCCGTAACTTCAGTATACTTCTCATTAGTAGACCTATTTTTATCACTGAGGAAAAAAAGGGCTGTGCATTGGTAAGCCTCAACGCATTTTGCGCCTCAACCCATCGGAAAACCCCCCCTAAAAATATATGTATTTTGCTTAGAATTACTAACCCTACAATTCTATCGATGTTTTCTGACTGGGAAAATAAGTACCGAAAAACGTCACTGCCTCCTAGACTAAAAGTTAAAATGGAATAGACCTATCTATTTTACCAGACAAAGAGGCAATAATACGAAAACTTCATTAGATAAAAAAAGACACAGAACGCTCATTGCGCAAGACGAGGCAAAACGTACCAAATTATGTTAGACTTACGTATAGCAATCCTTTCTTCTTATTTGCACGGGATAAAAGGGGAAGGAGAAAGACTGCATGTTGTGCAACGTATTTGTCAATGAAAATGTCAAACAATTTTTACATGTCACTTTTCAAGTTATGTCAAGTTAAATATTAACCGTACTTTTATTCTTGTCAGACCACGGGCAATGAACAAGGACAAGCATATGTCCAACGTGTGAAACGAATACTTCTCACCTGTACTAGTAGCATTGCCTCGTGTTGCGCGCGCATGCCAGGTAAAAATAGATAGGTCTATTGCCGCGAGAATAATTTTTTGGCGGATATGCCGTTTGCACAGACCGACGCAGAACCTAATTTTCTATCTACCTATACCTTTAACTACTTTTCGAGATTTTTGGCGCTTATGCCGTTCTGCCTTGAACTGGCTTGAACGCATCGATGTATAGATCAATGGTATAGATTGAGGTATAGATAGTGTATTATGAACACAGTCTAAAAAAACTACTCACTTTCCGTCGTAAATTTGATTGCGAATAGAGCTAACATCGAGGTGATCTTGATTCGTAACCCGCTTTTTATGTGGACGTTTTTTCTTTGGTGAATTTCACGCTAAATTATCCCTAACTTTTTGAGAGATTTTACATTGGATTTTACTACAGTGGTTATACCAATATTCAGTGCAGCTGCAACACGCTGGAAAAATATTCCCAATTAAAGCCCCAGGAGATTTACATTTGATAGTATCAATATACTTCACCTCACTAACACTATTTAATGGCAAAAAGGGGCCCCCATTATCTCGTTCCTATTCAATGACTTTGGCATTTTATAGATAGATACACAAATAGAAATAATTTCAAATTATTAAAATCAGCAATATTTGGCAACATAACAGATGAGTGCCAACCTAAATGGCATTTTATCGGCCGATTCAGTTAAATGCCAACAGTGTTCTGTCTTTTTTTAACTAAGGTTAAATAAAAAGGAGAATGAGCTCTCAGCTTGAAACTTGTCTACTCCTGAGCCTGGGAAATAAAAAGTTTCTCACTTATAATTTTAGTAAATTGTCTTTTTTAATGTAATAGTGTTTATATCCATGTCGCTAGCGTAAATATTAAAACAATTTGCACACACGGTGAACTGGAGAATTCCTATACAAATTTGTCCTAAGGAAGTCCAAATAAAACATATTTCTCTGTCGGGTGTAGACACGATTTATTGAAAAAGGGAGCTGAGATAAAATATGAGGGCTATTTATATTATTATTTATGAGTTTATAGGTAAATGTAAATTAGGCACATTTTTATTCGCCTATTCTCCAGGGAGAGTCTATTTTTTTGATAACAAACATTCTTCATCTGAATCACTCATTTTTTAAAGGCAACACTTCGCTAAACTGCTTTAACTTGACTAGTATCGCAGCTCCAACATAAACGCATCAAAGAAGGATACTTTGAATAGCTCTTATCACCGCTATTATCGACGCCCTCATAGCTTTTATCATAGCTCCAACATAAACACGGCCAATGAAATTCCCTATGACTGGTTGGTGATTTCTGTGAGAACAGACCTATCAACGAACTCATCTCTGACTTTGTAAGACTTATGGCCGTTTGCACGGACCATTTTAAAGAAGCCTTAGCGGTAAGTATTCCTTAATATAACATTTTTACATGGAGAAATGTCACTTTAAGGAATACTTATCGCTAAGGCTCAGGGCCGTAGCCAGGGGGGGGGGCATTTGGGGGCAATGCTCTATCTTTCAAATGATGATGCCCTACCTTTAAAACACAACATGCGTTTAGGTTTCTCTAGGAAATTTAAGAGTAGATGAAAGCTCTGCTCCAACCTACATGAGAACCGTTCTAGAACATTAATTTCCAGTCGATCAATTCATTTGTCAAGTAGGATAAACATTCAACTTATTGAAAATTAGGTGGGCAATGGGAACTGGTTCTGGAACGGTTCCCATATCAGTTGAACTACAGCTAATGGATAGACCTGAAATCGAGTAAGTTGGTTACAATTATTTTACAAGTAGTAAGTACAAGTACAAGTACAAGAGATCCCTCAAAGTCAAAAATTATTGCCTTAACACGCCATTTTGTTTACTTGCCAGAGATGTTATTTATTGAAAAATTTGCCTTCGGCGCCATTACCCCTATTTTGTTTACCTATACAAAATTTAAGGGGGGGGAATTAGAGCATGCCCTATGTCAAATTTTTCATGCCCTATCACAAATTTGACTCTAGCTACGGCCCTGCTAAGGTTTCCTCAAAATGGTCGGTGCAAATGGCCATTAAAGCCAGACGGGTTCATTTTTAATGTGTTGATAAACTGGTTTACTGGTTTGCGATTTCTGCGTGAGAACAATCTCATGCATCAAGCCTAGTACTCATAACTACGAAATTCGCATTTTTTTGACATTGCGTTGACAATTTGACGTTTTATGCGTGTCTCAAACGTCAAATTGTCGAAGCAATGTCAAAAAAATGCGAATTTCGCAGTTATGAGTACTAGGCTAAAGACGGGCCTATCGATATGCATTAGTTCTTTTCACGTGGCTCCGGTTTAACTAACCGGGTTACAAAACGGTTAGAGAAATGACATACCGTTTTCTAACCCGGTTACATAAGTGACGTGGTGGATACCTACCACTCGAATTTGAGCGGTATGTTGCGGTTTGTTAAACCGGAGCCACGTGAAAAGGGTTTATTGGTATCGATACGATATTTTGCAACATCCCAAAGAATCGTGATATTTGAATAATCCATATTTACAAATTCGTATCGATAGCTCCATCTCCAACGACTCTAACTCTGGAGTGCGTTCGAAATCACCCTGAGCGTCACACCGAGTGCACACTAGCAATGAATAATTCTGGTATGCACTCGGTTTCACGCCTAGAGCGATTTCGAACGCACTCCTATTGTCTCTAGTTGTCATTGTCAATCCAAAAAAAAATAAACAAATAATTAAATTGATCCGTGAGAATGTAAGTTTTCATTATTTTCAAACAAAAATGATAAAGTTAAGAAATTATCAGTAATTTCTTCATTCTAATTAATCACTGTTTGCTATTTGTTTATAAAATTTCCAATAAGAGAATCGTTTTTCCATGTTTTCAAATTTTCAATACAGATTTTCCAGTTTACAGGTAGTTGACCTAGATTCTAGATAAAAGTTGTTCCTGTTCAAAGCCTACAGTTCCTACTCAATTGTTGCTATTGTAATTAGATTCACATTGGTGAACTTGTAGTTGTAGCAGCATAGCAGATAACATGGCAGAAGCTGTAGTCAATACGGAACACGATGTTAATGATAAAAGTAAGTAAAGAATGTAATACTTATGTTACCCAATATTTTGCGGTAATTTTGTTAGTGCAAGTATTTATTTATTTAAAGTGATATACGAGATGCCCCATATATAAATTCATATTTCAAAATAAATATAAATAATAATAAATGTGTAGCCTTTTACATTCTACCTTCATCATCCATCAATGTCTATGCGATAATTTTTCCTTTGCTGTTAATGGGCTCTTTCACTAAAATTTAAATACGTAATTTAAGTATAAAATCTCAAAGGAGGGACTATTTTAGGCATATATACCAAAAAAAAAATGTTCTACAAGGTTCAATAAGTTTTTCACAGGCAATCAAAATTGGCCAAATTCAAATTAATTTTAAACGCGCCGATTTGCCGACGTCACATAAATATTCTTCATTTCGCTTATGTTGTTGCAAGGAGGACCGGCTCGCGCTCTGTAAAGAAACGTAAAGGTTCGAATGCGCTGTTGTCAGTTGTGACTAAATGTAGTGCAGCGTAAAATAAATAAATAAAACTAAACATAAAAAATTGTATTAAATTGTGTTTAAGCATAATTTAAAAAAAAAATGTTATAAAATCTTGAATCTATAACTAATTAATTTAACTACTTTTCATGAGATTTTGCCAACATTTCAGAATTAAATCTATTATAAATTTTCAATGTTGACAATTAGTGGCAACACGGTCAAATTGCGACCTGCGACGTCATAGAAATAAATTCTGGGTTTTTATTTGGAGGTATTTCTTTGCTTTCTGTTTTCTCAAGAAGGACTTTGAATTTTTCAAAAGTAAAAATACAGAAAATTCTGTTTTTAGTTGCTTTATCCAAATATGCTGTAAAGGAAGGAAGGTTAAGGCCAACAAAACACAATTTGTTGAAGGGCAAACGTCTTTTATTATCACCAAACAAACTGAAAAAAAATAGGGAAATCATTTTTCGTAGAACCATTTGTAAGGATTGTAAGATTTAGAGCATCAATTAATAAATTCTTGGCATAATTATTAATCTTATAAAGTATGAAAGATTGAAGAAAATACAAAATCAACAATCAGCCTCGAATACACAATAAAGCAAAATTAGATACATACCTGACACTTAGTTAAATTCAGGTTTGATTTTGTAATAAAAAGGAAACCCACGAACTTTCAAACTACACAGTTGTCTGTTTGAAAGGCGCAAATAAAAGAAATTAGAATATCGATTTAGTCAAGATTCCTGAATGCAAAATTGAAAACGCAGCAAAAAAAACAGCTTTGGAATGCGGGTTTCAGGAACCAAAAAAAATATATAATTTTAAGAATAATTTTAAAATAAGTAGGTCCCTCTGTTAGGCAGAGGACGAATTTTAATTGTTGTTAATAAGTTTATATTAGAGAAAAGTTTATGTTTAATTAACTTTAGGTATACCAGGGAAAAATTCATACAGAGGACGCTACTGAGGCCAAGAATAAATATTCATCAATGATTATTATTACTGTTAAAGTGACGTAGGCACTTTATCAAATGGTTCCCTATTAGATTCCGTTACATCTGCCCCCTCTTAGTTTTCACCAGGAAAATATTTCCGCAGAGGAAACTACATACACAAAAAAAAACGGTTTAACTATCCTGTTTCCGAGAAAAATGTTTCAGAAGATTAGCATGAAAATTTCCCCGTTCAGTTTTTCCATCCAATGAGGACAAAATAAAAGTCGAGAAACTGATTTGTTTTTTAATTTTATAGGGGCCTTCGAAAAGCAGAAGAAACTTTTTTGTTTCCGCTTTCAGAGCAGAAGAGTAATTATTAGCTCTGAGTAAGACTAGATCCCCTTCCTTAAAACGGTCATAAGGCCTAGCAGGGAATTGAGCGGCTCGACGAGCGGCTTTGCTCATTAGCGTCTCCTTGGCCAAGATTAATTTGGATTCGACAGGAACAAACACCTGAGTTGGAGGCTGTAAAGACTTCGGTAGTAATTTGGGACGTGATTCAGCGAAATGCAGCTCATTGGGAGTGAAGCCAGTGGATTCATGAACCACATTATTTAACAACTCAGTCAGCCGGTTAATCTCAAACGCCCACCTTGAGTGCTTCTCAGAGCAAAACGTGCGGAATAATCTTCCCAGCTCCCTCATTACTCTTTCAGAGGAATTGGCTTGAGCATGCCTCACCGAAGTGAACACTACTTTAACATCCAAAGCCTCCAAAGTGCTTCTCCAGGAACGAGAAGTGAATTGCGTACCATGATCACTAAGGAGCCGAGACGGTTTTCCCGCTCTCGGAAAATAATCCAAAGTGAGTCTGTTCAACACAGCGCGAGTAGTAGCACGTTTTAAGGGATACAAAGCCACCAATTTAGTGAAAACGTCCAAAACTACAAGCAGATAAGTCGCCCCACCTCGACTACGAATTAACGGGCCATACAAATCCAAGGCAACTAAATCACCCTTGGCCTCTGGAATGATAGGATGTATTGGTGGTTTTGGCAATGGTGAATGCTTTGTTTTTTGGCAGGTCTCGCAAACTCGGATAACTCTTTTAATGTCTGGGTACATATTTGCCCACCAAACCTCGTTCTTTAGAGCGCACCAGGTTTTATATGCTCCAAAATGTCCAAAGGTCACATGATACGCCTCACAAAATGTCTCAATCAAACATTTAGGCACACATAGGCGATAAGCTTCGTCATCAGTATGGCGAAAATAAAGGAGGTCCTCATGAAAAAGAAATCGCTTTTGCAAAGATGCGTCAGTATTTAAGTTTTCCCGAATTAGCCCCAATTTTATGTCTTCCCTTTGAAGAGCGGGCATGTTTTTTAAAATTGATAGCATAGTTTTAGGCAGGGTAAGGGCATATATTTTGAAGCAGCGGTCCTCGGGACTAGGAAGTCGAACACAAGCGTACCTGGACAAGGCGTCGGCTACAACATTTTGAGAACCTGGAACATGCTGAATTACAAAATCATATTCCTGGAGCGACAACGCCCACCGACTTATTCTAGGTGACAAGAGCCGACACGTATTTAGATACGTCAAACATCGGTTGTCGGTATGAAGAAAAAATTGCGTGCCCAACAAAAATGTTCGCCATTTTTTAAGAGCCCAAACCGCAGCTAACGCCTCCTGTTCATTCGAATGATATCGTGTTTCTCGTGGTAATAATAAGCGGCTAGCGACTGCTATCGTCTTTTTTTCTCCCTGAACTATCTGAAAAAGTTCAGCACCCAAGCCTAGATTTGAACTATCAATCGAAACATGAAAAGGTGATGAAAAATCTGGATAATATAATAAGGTAGCATTAGCAAGTTTATCTTTAATGGCTTCAAAGGCTTTTTGCTCCGGTTCGCCCCAAGTCCATTTTACTCCCTTTTTGAGCAGATCACTAAGTGGGCCACACACATCGGCAAGATGTGGGCAAAAACCTCTATCAAAATTCACAAGTCCCAAAAATTTCTGAATTTCTTTTTTATTAGTGGGAATAGTATAGTCTAAAACTGCTTGAATTCGGTCCTGGTCGGGACGGACACCCTCCCGATTCAACACATAGCCCAAGAATTTTAATTCTTTCCTAAAGAAACAACATTTTCTAAGTTTCAATTTTAATCCCACTGAATTTAATCGGTCGAAAAGAAGTTGCAGGTGTTCTAAATGGGCTTCGAAAGATGGCGATAAAGCCAGAAGATCATCTAAATATTTTACTAAAAACTCAGAAAAATCAGAACCAAAAATCAGGTCTAAGCAACGAGTAAATGATGATACAGCAGTACACAGGCCAAAAGGAAGTACCTTGAATTGATATGTACGTGTTCCCACCATAAATCCTGTATATTTCCGTGATTCGGGTTGCAGGGGAATTTGCCAATACCCCATGGTAAGGTCAAGGGTAGACAAAAAACGAGCCCCCGATATGCCTCGAAGAATATCATCCACTGGTCTAGGCAACTCGAACTCCTTTACCATGACAGAATTAAGGTGCCTCGCATCAAGGCACACACGTACCGTGCCATCTCTCTTCACGACGGTACTCAACGGAGAAATATAGGGTGGATTTGCCCTTTCAATCACCCCCCATGCCTCCATATTGCTGATAGTTTCCTCCACTGCCTTTCTATGGGCAAAAGGAATAGGATAAGGACGAATAAAAAATTCACCCTCATTTTTAAGCTGAATTTTATGTTCGTAAACAGAAGTGAGGCCCGGATATTCGGAAAAAACGGTTTTGTTTTTCCTCAAAAACTGACAAAAAATATGTTTCTTTCCATCCGTCAAATCACAAGATTCAAGAACCTTCGATAAATGTGCCTCAAAATCCGACCTAGGGATCCCCGTCGACACAATCTCCACTTTCTTTTCTGGCACCAGGTGCGCACAAACCTTATCCAAATTTATGAAGGACGGATGATGTGGAAGTTCTGACAAAGTAATTTTTTGGCCTTCATGAAAAACATTAATGCACCTCCTCTTAAAATCCACATTGGCATTAAAGAAACGCAAGAAATCAATTCCCAAAATCACCGGGTAATTCAAATCATTTATTATCAAAAACTCGTGTGTAAAAACATGTCCACCCAGCGAGAAAACCATTTGAACCTGTTTTTCCACTCTTTTATTTTTAGATTTAAAGGCACCTACTACCTTTATTCCTGCACATGGAAATGTAGGAATTTTATCATGAAAATCCTCCAATTGAGACCAAACCTTATCAGAAAAACATGATATTTCACTCCCGCTATCCACAAGTGCTGGAAAATTGTATTTATGAAAATTAATATTAATGACCGGGGACTTATAAAAAAAATCCGAATCATTATCTGAACTTTCAGGCTCCTCTTCAGAAGGAAAAGCCTCTAAAACAGCCCTTTTTAGAAAATTTTCACTGATTGGGCCTGTGCCAGTGAAAATCTTCAGTTTTCCGACTCCAGATTCTCTGGAATTTCCAAACTAGAAATTTGCTTTCGATTTTTATCAAAATTTTTATTTGCATAGGAATTGTAGTTTTTATTTTGTTCTTTTCTGGTA